TAGGGGAAAATGGGCCCCAGGAGACAGGCTTCACAGTGATGGGACCTCAAAGGTACATTGTGGGGGTTGTTGCATCACATGGCTGTTCAAGCTAGTGGAGGACCATATATCAAGGTGCAGGGACAATGTTCACCACAGGAATGAAGTGCCCCCATTAGATGCTGGGATCCTGAGACAAAGCCTTATTTATCTCATGTTAGTTACAGCTCTGAGCATAAACTTGATCTCTAAGAGCCTCATAGAAATATTTTACTACGATATTGGTAAAAAGAATACATGGTGTTATCACTTGGCCTCAAACCCATCAGTGAGTTAGATGGCTGCTTTTACTGCAGGTGTGTGAAGACTTCCCCCTGTGGAATGGGCAGATGAGAACAATTCTTTCCAGTGTCCATGAAGGCAGCTGAGCACTTAGAGCTTGGTCAGACAAGGAAGACACCAAAGTCATGCACTGCACCCCAGGCTATCACCACCTGCCTTGACTTTCGTTCTGCCATTGGACTTCAATAACTCTGGAAGAGATAGTGAGGCTGATGACTTTGCCCACATCTGCCTCATTGAAATCTAATTCATGAGCAAGTCAAGACATCACTCCTTGATGTCATTGGTTCTCTTCAACAACAAATTATCATTGTTATTTTGTTAGTGAGGGAAAAAACAAGTCATGAATCTGAATTCAAATTTCTAGCCTATTGGGTCTCCTGTGGAACAGTGGAAAGAGTATTGTCTCTGGAGTGAAAGGATTTGGATTCAAAATCTGCCTTTGATACTTACTATAAATGTAACCTGAAGCAAGTCACCTAACCTGCCTGGGCCTCAGTTTCCACATCTGTAAAATCAGCATTGGACTCGATAGTCTTTAAGGGCTCTTCTAGCTCTAAGTCTACGATCATATGATCCATCTCAATATTCTCATCTTTAAAACGAAAAAAGAGCCAAAATTCTGACTTTTTTTGTAAGGAGGAAAAGTAGCCTATTTTGAATCTGTCTCTTATTCTGTGGTCAGACCTGATCAATACTGGACTTGCAGACTAAACTTGTTATGCCGTGCTTTTATTACATAGGGTTATGAGGTTTCAGGGACAAGATTCACCCATGATAGACAGCCAGCTCCACATAATAATGAAAGATGTTATAGCAGGCTTTGTTAAGCATTCTCAGCTCCTGCTGATTGAAGATCAGCAGACCTTGGGAATGCCTCGTTAAATTTTTCATTTCCCTATGACAGGGAAAGAAAATGGAGGCTGTAAGGCATCAGCCCCCCGCAGCCCTTCGCAGGCAATATGGGGCCATGTTTGTTCCAATGATAAAAACTGCAAATGGAAAAGTAAAATCACCATCCGTCCTGCTCAGGAGCTGCAACCGAAAAATTAAACACATAAGGCTGATTTGGCTCTCTCTCCCCAAGCTGAAATAGCTGTTTGCAGCACAGATTGCAAAGTACAATGGTGTTAAAATAATGCCTGCATCTCCTCCTCAGCATGCATCAGAATGTGGAGATGCTGCGTGTAAAACTGGCCTGCCCTTCTAAAACAAATAACGGGAATCAATGCTGGATTTGGAGTCAGAGAACCTGGGTTCAGATACAGGCTCTACCACTTACTGGTATGACCATGGACAAGTCATTTAATCCCTGTTCATCCTGGTTTCCTCAACTGTGAAATGCAGCTGGGCTAATGGACCTTAAAGGAAACTTCCAGCTCAAAATCTATGATTCCATGTTCCTTGGAAACTGATCCCTTTCCCCAAACCCTTCCCTGAAACCCAGGAGTCTGTACAGTCAGTAAGGGGAAATATCAGTGTTTAGATGTTATTCCCAGGGTGTATGCACCTGGTGAATTGCTAATAGAGAAGGTTTTGAAGGCTATAGCCACAGGAGAAGCAGTACTGGTTTCTTTCCTCTGGGACTGAAATTAATTCAGGGACCATGAGTATTCCATTGCTGAATCCCAGGAACTATAACATTTGGGTTAGGCTGGCAGAATTTCCAAAGCCCTAGGGAAGACAGAAGAGAGTTTATCAAGGACCAGAGTTTCAAGTAGTTGCCAGCTTTTCTTCTTTCAGGCTGCCCCTTAGGCTTGGAAGAATCTGGCAGGTTTTCTGTATCCTCCTTTGAAGTCTCTCCTTAATATAGCATGTTCTCCCATGCAACCATCCAATCTCTTCCACCCTTTTATACATATATAAAATCTATTCTTCAGCTCACTGGGGGTGGGGGTGGGAGTGGGGGTAGTTTGAGAGGGGTGAGACCAAAAGAAAATCATACCATGTGCTTCTCCCTCACTCCCAGTGTGTGTATTGAGATAAAGTCAACTTAAAATGAATATTGCAGTGAAATGTTGAAATAGGGAGTGGGGGAAGGGGAGAATTAACAAAATCATAGAATTTTAAAGCTGAAGGGCCCTGAAAGATGTTGCTTTTTTTCCCCAACTCCCTTAATATATTGATGAGGAAACTGAGGCCAAGAAAGTGAAAGTAACTTGTTCCAAATCATAAGAACTAGGACTAGAGCCCAGGACTCCTGACTCCAAGCCCAATATTGTTTCTGTCATACCATACTATAATATTCCATTTCAAGTATCTAACCCCACTGGGGACAAGAATGTTTTCATGGCCTAGTTGGAGTATTAGAGGATGCACTTGTAAAAGTAAAGGGAAAGATATTTATTTCCCTAACATCAAAAGATTTAACCAGGTGTACTGACTCTATCATTGCACTGTTCTAAGTGATGGGAATAAAATGAAAGACAAAAGATAATCCTGACCCTCAAGGCCTCATAATCTAATGGGGCAAAATACCACATAAAAGGAAGCTGAAAAACTGAGATTAGGGGAAAAGAAGGTAACTGGAGAGTCCAGAGGAATGTAGCCAGTGGGAAGTAAAGAGATGGCTGGACTGGGCAACCTATTTGAATGGAGCTCTGTGTTCTCCACCCTCTACCCTCGCCAATCAGAGGGCAGACAGCATTGAAGAGGTATGAATTCCAAGGTTGATATGATTTTACAGGAAGATGAGGTTTCTGGAGGGCATGATGAAATCTGGAGGACTGTAGTCATGTGGGAAATGAAGAGATGGATGGCCTGGGAACCTTCCTTAAGACATGGGAGGAGCTCTCTGCTTTCCACCCTCTACCCTCTTCAATCCCCACGTGGGGGGACATTGGACCATGAGGCAAAGAGGCAAATGGATTCCCCTTAATTTAGTTAGGAGTGACAAGATGGGACCTGTACTTGAGAAGGGCTAACTTGTACTAAGAGCTTCATGACTGGCCTTTTTGTGCGTCAGCAAGGGAAGGACCATAAAATTAACAACAGAGTGGAAAATAGGTTAAGTCATACACCTCCAGTCTGGGTGTTCTAAATCTAACAAAGCTGTAACACTTTGCTCAAAACCAGTATTAACAGGAAAAAAATATGGCAGCTACGGACATGATAGCAACATCAGCAGCAGCAAGGGAAAGTGAAACTGCAACTACAGATGGGAAAACTGAGTCCCAGGAAGTTAAATGGCTTGCCAAAGATCATACACAGGGTGTAAAGATCACAGATCAGATTTGAAGCTGGCTCCTCTAACTACAGGAGTAATGGTCTTAAGTAGTTTCTTTACTAGGGAGGGTCTCAGCCACATTAACAACCTTAAATCCCAGGGGAAATGGAACTCACCAGAGGAGTGGGATATTTCACTCTGGGATGTTTAAAAAGTTTGAGAGACATAGTTTCTAGGTAATTTAATCATTTTTCAATAATGCTAACAGGTTTATTAATAAAAAGAGGTCAGTGGCACTTATGAATGCCAAAGGCAATCATGACAGCCAACTCATGGCTTACATGCCCTTGGAAGCAGGGTGTTCTTGAGGGTGACTATCAACTCTGATTAGTTAACAATTAATGGGAGAATGAATATTATAATGAGATGCTCAGAGTGACATTTTGTTACTCTTGGACAGAGAGACTATCCCCATACCCCCCTTCCCCCGCCATACACACTCCCCACCCCGGCAATCTAGACAAAAGATCTATCCCCAACCAAGTTTAACTGAATGGAATTCACCTTAGATTAGGGATTTCTGGGAAGGTTGAGTGGGGTCTGATGGAGGAGAAAATTAGTTCAACCTTCAGAGACTGAGTTTTTGAAATGAAGTCTTTAGAAAAAGAGGGAATTCTCCCCAAATCATTGGCTATTAATGATCATCTCTCTCAACTCCCTACATCTCTATAGGCCCCCAAATCTTTTTCTGCTTGGGGAGAATGGGCTAAGAACTCTGTAAGGTGGTACTATAAGTCTGAAGCAACTAGGGAAGTTCCTAGGGAAAATGGAACTTAACAGTAATAAGTATTCCTGATTGTGGATTTAGATAAAAATATTCTCCCCTTTCCCTTCCCTCTTTCTCTTCCTGTCTCTCACACATATATAAACTTGCTCAATGAGATGAGAAGAGATCTAGAAATAAGCCCAATCTACATGTTCCCAAAGAGAAGTTTCTCTGGGTATCTCTAGTGTTTAGCACAGTACCTGGAATACAGCAGGCACTTAATAAATGCTTATTGATTGATTGATTGATTGGGTAGGTATATAATGTTTCCAAGATATAAATTCAAGACCTTATCCAGAGTTGCTTTGGACTATGGTTTATATACAATACATAAATAAATATGTTTAAAAAATCAGTCAATCCACAAGTTTTTATTAAGCATGTACTATGTGTGAGGTGCTCTTCTAAGTTCTAGGAGATACAAAGAAAGGCAAAACACAGTCCATGTCTTCAAAGAGTTCATGTTCTAAGGGAGGAGTTTTGTTCAGTCATGTCTGACTCTTCACGTACCCATTTGGGGTTTTCTTGGCAAAGATACTAAGTGGTGTGCCATTTCCTTCTCTGGCTCATTTTACAGATGAGAAAACTGAGGAAAACAGGGTTAAATGACTTGCCCAGGGTCACACAGCTTATAAGTGCCTGAGGCTGGTTTTGAACTCATGAAGATGAATCTTCCTGATTCCCAGCCCAATGCTCTAGCCACTTCACCACCTAACTGCCCCTCTAATGGAGAAGACAATATGTAAACAGATAGGCACTTACAAGATAGAGATGGGCTCTAGCAATTGGAGGGGAAGGGAACTGAGAAAGGCCTCCTGCCAAAGGGGACATTTGAGCTGACTTCTGAAGGAAGACAGGGACTCTGAGAAGGGAAGGGAGGAAGGAGAGCATTCCAGGCATGGGGGACAACCAGTGGAGAAGCACAGAATCCAAGTAGAGTGTTAGGTTTGAGGAACAGCAAGTGGGCCTGTGTTGCTGGATTGTAGAGTGAAGCATAGGAAGACTACAGAGGTATGAAGGGACCTGGTTGTAAAGAGCTTTAAGCAACAAAGGACTTTATATTTGATCCAGGATCTAATAGGGAGTTCCCAGACTTATTGACTAAGAAGGGGTAACATGGTCAGACCTACACTTTAGGCATATCACTTTGGCAGCTGTGTGGAGAATATGCAAGGACCATTTTTTTTTAAGTAAAAACGATACCAAAAAGAAAACTCAAGATCTGTCTGTATAATGGTGGAAACAGTTCTAACAATTTTCCTTCAGAGCAGCCAGAGGCCTAAGAAATTCTCCAAAACCTAGCAACAACAGTGAGCTGGCCGCTGCCAGTGCCACCGCTGCTGACCATAAGGGAGGTGAGACTGGGGCGGGCGCTGCCCGCTGGTCCGTAGGCAAGAGGTTACAGCAGGAATTGATGACCCTAATGATGTCTGGTGACAAAGGAATCTCTGCCTTCCCAGAGTCAGACAATCTCTTCAAGTGGGTTGGGACAGTATATGAAGACCTAAGGTACAAGCTCTCCTTGGAATTCCCCAGTGGCTACCTATATAATGCTCCCACTGCGAAATCTGTCACACCTTGTTACCATCCTAATGTGGATCCCCAAGGCAATATCTGTTTGGACATCCTCAAAGACAAGTGCTCAGCTCTGTATGATGTCAGGACCATCCTGCTATCTATCCAGAGCCTGCTGGGAGAACCCAACATTGACAGCCCAATGAACACACATGCTGCTGAACTTTGGACAAACCCCACTGCCTTTAAAAAGTACCTGCTGGAAACCTACATGAAGCAGGTGACTAGCCAAGAGCCCTGACCCTGGCTGCCCAGCCCTACCTTCCTTCATCTTGTGTGTATGTGTATGTGTGTGTCTATCTTTTTCCCTTCCTCATAACCTGTCTTCTCCTCTTTTCTGTACAGGACTCTGTTTCATAGACTGTTTTCCTTTCCTTTTTTTTTTCTTAAACTCTTGTCCGGCCCTCAATATTAATGTATAAATAAATAAAGTTTTGTTGTTAAAAACAAAAACAACCTAGCAACAAATTGGTGAATAGCATTGGTCTCTTGAACATAGCCTCAGGAAATTAACCACATTTTTCTATATGATTTACAAAAACTATCAACAACTAAAATTAAAATATCAAAAAATGCTACAAATCACTGATAAGAAAAATGGAAATGAACACAACCATAAGGTTTCACTTCACACTCCTCAAATTGGCAAAAATAGAAATAGTTAACATTGAAGGGCTTTGAGAAAACAGGCACACTAGTAAACCATTGGTGGAACTGTGAATTGGCCCAACTATTGTGGAAAATTTTGGAATTATGCTTAAAAGGAAAGAAAAGAAAAGAAAAGAAAAGAGGGGACTAAGGTGTTCTTAACCTCAAGTCCATGGATTTTAAGTGGTTCATGGATTTTTAAAATATTTTGATAATTGTATTTCAATATAATTGGTTTCCCTTATAATTCTATGTATTTTATTTTATGCATTTAATAAAAAATAACACACCTGTGCATTATTTTGAGAAGGGTTCCATAGTCTTCACCACACTGCCCAGGAGTCCATGATATGCAAAAGATTACATACCCCATATTACTGAGAATAGTAATAATAGTTAACATTTATTTAGTGCCTTACAAATTTTATCCTCCCAATAACCCTGGTGGGTCCTATTATTGTCGCCATTTTACAGGTGGGAAAGCTGAGACAGACTTGCCCAGGGTCACAGAACTAATCAATGTCTGAGGTGGATTTGAACTCAGATCTTTCTGACTTTAGGCCCAGCACTCTATTCACTGTAACATCTAGCGATATAGTCCAAAAAAGTCAATGACAAAAAGAAAGGACTCACGTATGCCAAAGTGTATGTAGCACTAAGTTTTGTGATAGCAAAAAAAAAAAAGTAGATACTCAACAATTGGGAAATGTCTGAACAAAATGTGGTTTATGAATATTATTGCTCCCTGAGTAAGGAAGAGGAGGAGGAATTCAGCAAAACATAGGAAGCTATGTAAGGATACAGAGCAAAGAAAGAAGAACCAGGAACAGCGTACCCATCACTTCAGTGAGGGAAGCAAAAACTAAAGCTTTTAGGCAACTGAATTCAAATGAAATCCAATTATCAATTTTGATCCCAGAGAAGAGATGAGGAAACACTTCTCTCTCCTCAAAGAGAGGAGCAGAGATGAATGCAGAATCATGTTAAGGTGTGTTGTCAGAAACCATCTCAGCTGGTTGTTTACCATTCTTTGTTCCTAGGGAGAGTTTGGGGATGAAAGAGACAATGAAAAATCACTTTGGTATAAAACACAAAAGACGCCAATAAAACTTTTTTTTAAATTTGTTTAAATAAGGAACAAAAGGCAATCTACTAAAATGAGGCATCTTAGATGGCTCAGTGAATAAAGCACCAGGCCTGGGGTCAGAAAGACCTGAGTTCAGATCTGTCCTCTGACACTCACTAGCTGCGTGACCCTGGACAAGTCACTTAACGCTGTTTGCCTCAGTTTCCTCATCTGTAAAATGAGCTGGAGAAGGAAATGGCAAATCATTCCAGTATCTTTGCTACCAAAAAAAGCTGAAATGCTGTCACAGAGGAATCAGAAACAACTCAACAACAACAATGAGGTAGGAAGACCTGAATTTGAATCCTGCCTCAGACATTAGCTCTGTGTGAAGTCACTTGACCACCCTCTGCCTCAGTTTTCCATGTATAAAAGTGGGGATAGTAATAGCACCTACCTTACAGGGTGCTTGTGACAATCAAATGAGATAGCATATGTAAAGCATTTTGTATACTTTAGCTATCTAAATGCTAGCTAATATTATTATTACACAAATATTTTATACCTTCTGGTTATAAAAACGATCCTACATCATCACTCTCAGGCTTGCTGGAAGAGTTTTGTAGCATATTACCCCTTTTTAAAAGCATGACCAATACCATCTCACTCATTTCTTCCCTTTTGTTTTAAAATTTGCAGTCGGTAAGTTGTGTTGGGCTTTGAAAGTGCCTAAGTGACTTGTCTAGGGTCACACAGCCAGGAGGTGTCAGGCATAGTAGGGCTTGAATCCCTGTCTTTCTGTTTTTGAGGCTAGCTCTCTCTCCTCGTGCTAAGCTGCCTCTACAACTCTTTCTTTTGGGGGACAATTCTCTAAAACTTTAAACTGAAGAAAAGTTATGGATCCATATTGGTAGAGGAAATTTCTTCCCTGGCTTCTTCCACCAATGAATCACAGGTCTAGTACAGAAAGAAAGAAAGAAAGAAGAAAGAAAGAAAGAAAGAAAGAAAGAAAGAAAGAAAGAAAGAAAGAAAGAAAGAAGAGAAAGAGAGAAAGAGAGAAAGAGAGAAAGAGAGAAAGAGAGAAAGAGAGAAAGAGAGAAAGAGAGAAGAAAGAAAGAAGGAAGGAAGAGGAAGAAGGAAGGAAGAAAGAAAGAAAGGAAAGAAAGAAAGAAAGAAAGAAGAAAGAAAGAAAGAAAGAAGAAAGAAAGAAAGAAAGAAAGAAAGAAAGAAAGAAAGAAAGAAAGAAAGAAAGAAAGAAAGAAAAGAGAAAAAGAAAAAAGACTCCAAAAGACCTTTAGTTTGGCAAGGCATGTATAATGGATTTGATATTGTATAGTGTTCTTTTAAAAAGTTAGTTACCAATATATTCACGTATAACTTAAAAGTAAGTTTTCCTTAAAGAAAAGGTTACTTTTTTAAAAAAATTCTTCATATTTGGTCCGAGTTTGACCTTTGGAGTTTGTGGGATTACTTTTGTTGACTGCACAGGTCACAATCCCTTTCTCAGTCCCAAATAGTTCTCCCTTTTCTATTACTACTATTAATTTGATTAACACTTGAAAGTCTTTACCCTTGGCAGATTTTACACTTTAAATTCATCAGACAGCATGAGTGGGTAGTGCTGTAGAAACCCATTGATCACAGATCAAATACAAGACACTTTCATTTATGTCACCCCAGCCTCTTGGAACAGAAACATGGCTAGGGCGGTAAATTCCTCTCTGTGATTAAGAAGGACCATCCCAGCAACAGAGCTTGGGCCTGATTACAAAGATTATGTCCTCTGAAGGGAGACATAGTGGAACTTTTGAAGTGATTACATTATCTACTAGTTTCTCAGGAAGAACAGACAGTGAAAGAGAAAGGAAAAACCTCAGTGGCCTCTTCACATTCTGTAATTTCCTGCCATTAGCCTCCATTGTGCCTGAGAGGGCTCAGGTCTGAGAAAGTGTGTACATATACAGAGGCCCATCTTCCTAAATCTGTCCATTTGCAAATGGGTCTGATTATTCAAACAAGCCTTTCCTAAGTGTGTTATTCAAGAAAAACTTTTTTTTTAAACTACACATTCATCTTTTAAAATGAAAAACTTTGTTTTAAAAATATTATTTCACTTTTATTACTTTTGGGGGTTTTTTAAAACTTCACTTTGTTACTGAAAAACATTTGAATTAAGACTTTTTAAAAGTTTTTATTTTTCAATTTTTATTGTCTTTTTTTTAAGTCTTGATTTTCCTGTCTTACCCAAGTTGGTAGCACTGACGCTACTTGTAAGCCCAGTCCCACTGTGATCTGACTGAAAGTTTTGACCTTCTCCATTTTCAACCTGGGCTGACTTGTCCCCCACTTCCCCTCACCATGTTAATGCTAAACCTAGTGTGGATTCCTTATCAGTGACTGGTCTACTGAAGCACAGAACTCCTGAGCTCAAGAGATCCTCCATTCTTAGCCTCAGAAGCAGGATTACAGGCCTGCTCCATCATAACCATTGCATGCTCTGAAAGAATCATTTCTCTGCTCTTTAGTCAAGTTACATCTGCCAGTTTTTAAATGGATCCTTTTCAACATCTGGTCTTTAATATCTTTATGCCTGTGTGCGTATTTATGTATGTGTGTGTGTGCTATATAGTGAGCCATACACACAGGTGCCTTATTTGTACTTCTGTTATTTGTCTAGTTTCTTGACCTGTTAAGCAAAAACTAAAAACAGCCTCTCTTAACTGCTCTTAGGGGAGCAAAACAAACCAGACTTATATGCTCTTTAAAGTTAACACTAAATAAACAGAGATAGTATGATATAATGCATAGAGCTAGATTTGCAGCCATAAAGTCCTGGGTTCGAAACCTGCCTCATACACCTGCCACCTGAATGAGTCTGGACCCTCACTTAAGCTCTCAGCCTCAGTTTACTTATCTGTAAAATGAGAAGCCAGACTAGATGACCTAAAAGATAATTATCCAAGGATCCAATGTAGGTACACAGAGAATTCATCAACAAACTCAGATTTTAAGAAGACATGTACACTACATGACAATGGAAATGGAAAGAATAGTAAAGAAGAGAAATGAGAAGTGACGCCCTCCTGCCCAACACACACAGTCACACACTCCTTTGCAGAGGTGGGAAACCCATGGATGTGATGCATGGCATGTATTTTCAGTCTTCTTCAATGTATTGATTGGTTTTGCTAATTTTTCCTCTTATTTTTTCTTCTTTAAAAATATTATTCATTACATGGAATGGATTGGAAAGGAGGAGAGGGAGAGATACTGAAATTCTGATGATATAAAAAGCAAAAAATATCAATAAAAATTTATCCTTTACAGAAAGAAGACACGTATAGAAGATGAAATCAAGGGGAGAAGATCGAAGATGAATCCCAGAATGTATCAGAGTACTTTTTGAATCGTGCCCAGAGTGCTAAAGTTCAAAACGGTCTGAGGCTGTTGAGGAAAGCTAACGAGACCAAAATGAATGGCCAAATTGGGGAAGACCAAAAGAGGGCTAAAGAAGGGATAGGGCCACTGGTTAAAGTGAATGGAACAACAATAACTGATAATAGAGAGAAGACAAAGTGGCTCATTTGTAATTTTGCTTTTTTTTTTTCTGGAAAGGAAAAGGACAGAATCAAAATGGCTAACAGGGTGGATACCTAAGATAAGTGAGGAAATAACATGTAGGGAGGGTCCCTTGTGGCCTTTGATGAGTTTAAGTCACTAGAGTTAGAAAATGACATCCTAGCTTGCTGAAAGAAATGGTAACAATGAACCAATGTTATTGATCTCTGAAAGATCAGGGAGAGTGAGAGAGGCATGACAGGACCAGACAGGGGCAAATATTATCCTGGTATTCAAGACAGGAAAGAGAATGGTGCTTAAAGACTATAAGCTAGTAATCTTGACTCGGATGTTTGGCAAAATTCTAGAATATATTATTAAAAGTATGGTTGGTGAAGATCCAAAAACAGAAAGTTGTGATCATGAGGACTCAGCAGGGCTTATGGAAAAACCTCAACATTCAAAACTCAGTACAGAGAAAGGTGGATTTACATGAATTGATGCAAAGTGAAATAAGCAGAACCAGGGAAAAGTGTGCATAATGACTACAAAAATGGAAACAACAACAAAGACAACCAAAAGTAAATTCTCCAAAATTATAATTACTAAGCTTGGCACCAAAGAGGCGTTATGAAAAGACACCTCCCCTCATTTAGCAGAAATGAGGGACTTTTCGTTTGTGACACCACATATAATGTCATACTTGTCTTAAATGTAGGTTAGTTTTACTGACTTTTTTCCCTTTCCTCTTTTTTTTAATTATTTATTATGAGGGGTGGTTCTCTAGAAAGAGGCAAAAGGAAACAAGATAATATAAAACCAAAATATAT